CCCTGAAAGGCGTTAATAGAACTCCTGCTGCGGTCTAGTTTATCAGCCTGCCAGGGAATGCCTATGTGTGTATATATGCGTGTGGATATACAAAATATACATACACACAGAATCAGAATACATTTCAGGATTCAGGGCCAGAATAAAGGGGTAAACCCAGGAGTATCCAGAACAAGAACCACCACAAGCCTGTCTACAGCTTTATTGAACTGAAATAAGTTTGTACCTTAAACTCCACACTAAGTTGGAGCTGTGTGAATGGTTTCGAGCTTCATGGTTTTGGTAGCATGGGGCTGGCATCTTCTCTATTTACTGCTGTATTGTTTCTGAGGGTAATTTTAGCCTAACATATATGTGTACACACCCTTATTCTCAGCAGGCATATATACTGTATGTATGTTTGGGATGTTTTTTCCAGTGAGTTGTTTTGTTTGAGGTGGTGTTTTGGTTTTTTGGTGGTTTTGGGGTTTTTTTTTAAGTCTATTTTTTGGTTGTTGTTTGGGGTATTTTGAGGTGAGGTTGGTTGGTTTGTTTGGTTTGGTTTTTTAAAAAAAAGCATTTTAAGTTGAGTTTTCTTAATTTCCTATTGCAGAACTGAAGGGAAGACCTGGTCACCCCCAGTTCTGGAAGACGGCAAAGCCCAAGCATACCGGATCAACATAGAGCCAGACCCACAGGTACAGTGGCAGCAGCCCTGCACGCAGGCTGCTCTTCCAGCTCGTGTTTTGGGGGAGAGGAGATCCGTATCTGAAATCTGGGAAGCCATCCGCTCTGCCTGCGGACCTTCCAGAGGTTAAGCAGTTTCTATGTGTGGTTTTAAGGCATCATGTTTGTTAGACTTTTCCGTGCAGGTCTTGCTGTGCTTTCCTTGGGCTGGTAAAGCTCTTGGCATAAACCCAGCCCCATAAATTGCCCTCCTCCACCAGAGAGAGGTTTTGTGGAATTGGCTGCTTGGTGGCATGAGGAGCCCAGGCAGTGCCGGGGTACGGGTGGCACAAGCACCAGCACCAGCCCTCCTCGCAGCTGTGGTCAGCAGTTGATGGAGCTGTTGAGAACCCTCCGAAGGGTGCTGCCCCATGCCTGCCCTCCCTGCAGCACAGCACGCCCCGGGGCTGTTTGCACCCGCCTGGGCCGACGTGCCTCCGCCTGGGCTGCTTCCCAAATCCACCGCACCCTCCTAATCCCGGCGCAGTGATTCACTTCACGTGGTGGAGGATTTTTTTTTTAATGGTGTCCTATTTTTTTTCTTGTCTCACTCCCTTTTCTTCCGTCTCTGTCTTGCAGCTTGTCTCTTCCCTCTGTCTTCAGCTCTCTTCCCCAGTCCCTGCTGCCCGCGCTCTGCCTGCGGCCTGCCCTGCCTTCCCACCCCGGGGTCTCCGAGAGCAGGGGTGAGGGCAGTGCTGTCTCCAGCAGGTGATGGAGCTGAACAGACCTCCATCTTTCATACCCTTGACTAATAGCTCGTTAGCAAGGTCAAAGATGACTTTCAGGGAATGGTTTGGGTTGGAAGGGAACTTAAAAGCCCACTCAGTGCCACCCCGTGCTGTGGGCAGGGACATCTTCCGCTAGACCAGGTTGCTCCAAGCCTCATCCAGCCTGGCCTTGAAAGGGAAAGCTGAAGTGTCATCTACTCAGGCTGGTGAAAGAAATCCTGCAATTCCCATAGCGATGTGGGAACACTTCTGTGCTGATGCCGTGTTTGACTGTTGCTCATAGGGTTTCCCTCTCCCCAGAGGTGGTTTGCGTTACATCCTGTCCCGTGAGAGCCTTTTCCTTGGTGCTCATGAAGCGCCTGTGTGCAGGGGCTGCTGGCCTAGCTCTGCTCCTTGTTCCTCGGGCTGGCTCTCAGTGTCCTGACAAGAGTCCCCAGGACCCCCACAGCCCTCCCTCAGCTCAGTCCAGAAGGAATATAAGACCTGCAAGAGTGGAAAGGGCAGGATGAGGCTACGAGGAGTGGTGTTGGCTTTGTTTCCCTGTGAGGAGTGGGGAGATGGTGCTGGCAGCAGAGATGTCACCAAATGATGAGGACAGGGGTGAGATTCTTCAAACCCTTGGAAGACCAGACCCACATAGTCATGCCTGTGCCTGTTGGCCATTGCAGCCCTGTGACAGATCAGAGGAATTTGCAAATATTTTGCATTCCCACCCTGGGGCAGTGGGGAGAAATGGCAGCCCCGGCAAAACCGCCCCGGCATCGCACACGAGCAGCTCGTGGCTCTGCTCGTCTTTCCTGTGCTGACTGACAGAGCAGGGTGATCTGTGTGCTTGGGCTTTGAGTTCTGGCCATGTTTGCTTCATTAATCAATTACAGCAATCTTTTTTTGACAGATATTTTTTCTTAATAGACTTTGATGTGCCCAAAACCCTAAGAATAATATTAAATAAAGACCAAATGTGCAGCAGTTCTGCTGCCAGATACAACATTTCTGAGGTTTAATGCAGATTGGATTTGAATCTGACTATTAATATATGTTACATATGGATCCTTTTAAAAATTAGACAGTTGCGTAGAACATAACGAAGAGATAGGGGTGGATTTTGCTGAATCCAGAGCAGCACTGAAAACGTCTAGGTCTGTGGAGTGCTCCGTGGGTAAAGCAGACGTGGCCAGGCACCCCGAGGTGTACGAACAGGAACATGCAGGTGCGGACAGCAGGTTCCTGCTCTTGATCTTTTTTTCAGTGGCTCTTATCTCCACATTGTCTGCCTTTTCTGGTCACCCAGGGAGGACGTGAGCAAGGTACCAGTGCTCTTGCTGCGGTTGCACCCTGGATGTGCTGGTTGACTCTTTTCCCTCCCCAAACCAACTGTGCCTTGAGCGTGCTCATGGCTGGGGTCCCCTACGGAGCGATGCTGTATGACCCAGGGCTGTCCTGTGCTGTATTCGTTCAGCCCCTGTAGCCAAGGCACTCATTAGATTGTGAGAAAAAGAAGGCTAATTGTGAAGTAATTGCTTGGCTCGAAACATCCAGCTTTTAGGGGCGCTTCCTCGCATCTGGAAAAAAGCAGTTTGCTTCAGAATGCAGAGAGGGAAAAAAAAATCTGTTGGAATTCTGCCCTCAAATTGCAAATAAAGGTTTGGGGTTGTCCTTGAAAAAGGTTTTGAGAGTTTTACCCCAAGTGGCCTTTCCAGTAATGTGGAGCACATGTCTTCCCTTCCTCCAGGTTTTGCTCCATCAGCTTTTCCATCGTACTGGGCAAAGATGTCTTGGAAGTCTTTTGACTTGTGACTATGGTAATTCTTGCTAGAGGCCCAGAAATGTGTGAACATGAGCAGAATGCCTAAATCTGTGCGATTTCTAGGAAAGCATGTACCCTGCTATTGCGTTTTAGGTAATTTAGGTGCAATCTTGGAGGCAGTGAGGCTTGCAGTTATCTTTTGTGCAAGAGAACTTGGAAGGTACTGACCAGCTGATGAGCTCTCCTCTCTTTCTAAATCTGTTGTGGTTTGTCAGTGGAGCTTTGTGGAAAACCCCTACTCAGGGACCAAGAATGTAATCAATCCTCCTCATTAAAACTCTGATTAATGCCATGACTGCCAGGAATAACTGCCCTCGCGACTGAAGAAGCTGGAAGTGGAGAGAGCTGCTTGTTCACAGTTAGCAGAAGTGACACTGAACAGGATGCTGGTGGGTCAACCTCACAAAATAATGCTTTAAAAAAAGCAGATGTGGGTTAAATTGGGGTGCACTCTACAAATTTGTCCTTTACAGCAAGTAGCTGTAGAGGAAGCTGCAAATTCAGTGTCATTCCAATTTGCATCCAAAATACCAACAGGCTGTGTCTGTGTCAGTTCAGGCGTGGGTGACCTACGGGGATCAGCAGCCTTGTCACATGGAGTTGGGATTCCCATTGCGCAGACATGACATCCCTGCGGATGTGTTGGGATCTCCAGACTCGCTTTGCTGCCGGCTGTTCGCCCGGTGTCAGCCGTCCCTCCTCGGCAGACGGAGAGGAGTGGGAGACATTGATCCATCAGTTTCTGGAGATCCCAGTTTTCAGCTTCTTGTAGCAGTGCTTGCTGGTCAAAATGCCCCCATGCGGTGTGCATAAAGGGAGAGGATGTTTGTTCTCTTGACCGTTCTCATGCTGCTGGAATTTGCAGCTTTCTGGCCTGGGGGGTGGTTGGAAATGTGGGCTTTGGGCTATGGGGCAGAGCCCTGTCAGCACTAAGTGACAGTTGATCAAGTGTCTGGGTGTGAGAATAATTGCAGCAGAAATTAAATTGGCAGTGCAGAGCCAGAGCTGGAATAGGATGCAAGTCCTCCCAGACTGGGACGCTTGGCTGAGACAAGCGACGTGGGGTGGAAGGCTGGGTTTCCTCTGGCTGACGGAGAGGGAGAGGCACTTCCCGCAGGTGGGCGATTGTCCCGGTCCCTGTGGGAATGGCATTCCAGTGCCACCTCGCTGGCAGAGCAGCGCCCAGTCCCCCCTGCCTTGGTCCCCTCTCATGCTGTGCCCCGTGAGCATCAGCTCTCCAAGCCGGACTGACCGAGGGGCGAGCTCGGAGCAGTGGGGAAGAGCTGGTCCTCCTGTAGCCTTGGGGCAGTTGCACAGAAGGGATGAGAAGACTGTTTCTGCTCATCGAGGGGTTTTCTTCTTTAATGTCTTATTTTGTCCTTGACACCGAATTCTCAGCCTGTGGAGGGTTGTGTTGGTTTGCTCCGAGTAAACTCGGGCGCAAGGCATGCAGCTGGCCTGAAAATGCCAACCAGGATGGGGTGAAGAGGAGGAACTGGGGCAAATTGCATCCACCGTAGCTGTTCAAGCAGCCTGAACCAGGCAGTAGAAGAAGCCCAACGCTGTCCGTAAGCCAGGCTGATGGACAGTGCAGAAGTACCCAGATTTGCTTTGTCAAACATGCTGTTGTGGGGTGGGCTCTGCTCTGTATGATCCGTGTGCCGCCGGGTGGCGTGAGCTCTGCAGCATCGTTCCCGTGAGCTTCCCCTACCTGCCCTGCCCACCGAAACAGCCTCCTCATAATGTCAGTCTACTAAACTGCTGAACATACGTGCTCCTGCTTTAACAAAAATAATAAAATGAGTCATATGTGGGCTTCAGGTGGGCGTGTGAGCCTCTGGTGTCCCAGCTCTGGGCACCTGGGGACAGCGGTGGGGTCCCACAGCAGAGCAGGGAGCGGGGTTTGGTGCTAACTTGTCCCTTAGCACTGCTTCTAACAGCTTTAAAAAGGTCTTAGGTATTCCTATATTTATTTTTTAGTCTCGGTAGATTATTGTTACCCTTTTAAATTAAGGAAAAATGACTCCTCATTTGATTAATTGGCTGAGAGTATTGCTTTCAGTTCTCGGCGGGTTGGTGTTGTGCCGGGAATCTCCGACTTTGGAAAAACATGGCATGGGCTGCACTTGTTTCTGTGTACCAGGGGTTAAAGCCTCCTGGTTGGAGAGGTGGAATTTCCTTTCCCGAGGTGATGGACCTTCCTTCCTCCCTGCCTGGGTCAGCACAGCGGGATGGGCCATGGCTGCTCCTGGGAAACCTCTCGCCAGGACCCCCGGCTCCCCCATCGCACCAGCCCTCGCGCTGGCATCAGCACTAGCGTTTTCAGGGCAGGAGGAGGAGGAAGATGTCTGCCTTGTGCTTTTGGGAAAACAAAGGATGAGATAATGCCCTGGCGCAGAGCGGGTTCCCGTCGCGTGGGAACTCCCAGCGTGGTGTT